CGTTTGAAACAGGAAGATTAGAATATTTATTGTGTGAAATTCTTTGGATACTCTTGACACTTTCAGACCACTATATTGATTTTTTTTCTTCCTCTTTGGGTCACACCTGGCGATGCTCAGGGGTTACTCCTGGCTTTGCACTCAGGAATTACTCCTGGCGGTGCTCAGGGGACCATATGGGATGCTGGGAATTGAACCCGGGTCGGTCGTGCGCAAGGCCAGTGCCCTACCCGCTATGCTATCGCTCCAGCCCCTAAATTGATTTTTGTTGGAGACTGAACCCCAAGTCTCAGGCATGTACAGCATGTGCTTGATTTACTGTTACTTATTCACTTCCCTGGTGCTGCTCTATTAGCTTTTTAATCTTTTTTTTTTTTTAATTTTTATTAGTGAAACACCATGAGGTACAGTTGTAGACTTGCAAATTTTTGTGCTTGGGTTTCAGTTATACAGTGATCAAGTACCCATCCCTCCACCACCTCGGGTCCCAGCATCCCTCCCAACCCCCTCCCCCCATCCCACCCTGCCTCTGTGGCAGGGCATTCCCTTTTGATCTCTCTCTCTCTCCTTTTGAGTGCTGTGATTTGCAAAAGAGACATTGAGTGGCAATCTTGTTCGGACTACAGTCTACTCTCATCACGCATTTCCCATCCTGAGAGGAACCTCCCAACACCCTTTATTTGGTGCTCCCTTCTCTATCTGAGCTGCCTTTTCCCCTAGCGTGTGCGGCTGGCCTCCAAGCCATGGAGTAATCCTCCTGGTACTAATCTCGGCCATTCTTGGGTGTTAGTCTCCTATTTTGTTACTTCATGTTCCCCAGATGAATGCAATCTTTCTATGTCTATCCCTCTCTTTCTGACTCATTTCACTTAGCATGATACTTTCCATGTAGTACCACTTGTATGTAAATTTCATGACTTCATCCTTTCTGACAGCTACATAGTATTCCATTGTGTAGATGTACCAAAGCTTCTTTAACCAGTCATCTGTTCTTGGGCACTCAGGTTTTTTCCAGATTCTTAGCTTTCTAATCTTGCAGCCTAATAATTCTTGAGGATTTTTTGTGGAGTGAGAGAGAAATTTTGGGTTCACCTGGCAGTGCTGAGTGCTGCGGATTGGACGAGGGTCTGCGGTGTGCATGGGAAGTGCCTGCCGCCTCACTAACCCCTCAGCCCGTGGAGAATCAGATATGTTTGCTTTTCCGAAAAAGTTCTTATGCTGGGGTGTGTTTGTGTCACACTTGGCAGTGCTTAGGGCCTTTTTCTAGCTGTCCACTCAGTGACCCCTGACAATTCCTGGGGACTGTAGCAGTGCCTGGGATCAAAGCAGGGTCAGATTCATACTTTACCTGCTGTAAATCTCTCCAGCCCCACTCTGGAGAATATTGTGCCGTTTATAGTTTCAGGTTGGCATCTTCCTTTCTGATGTGGATTGTTTTTTTTTTTTTTTTTCTTGTCTGATTGCTTTGGCTAGGGTTTTCAATACTGGATTGAATAAAAGCAGTCAGTTTAGTTAGAATCCTTGTCTTGTTCTTCGTCTTCAAAGAATCATTTTCAGGTTTTCCCCATCATGTTTGGTGTTAGCTGTGATTTCCTCCCCCCTCCCCATATTTAAGGTTTTTAGGGGTTTTGTTCATTTTTGTTGTTGTTGTTGTTACCACCCTCACCATTGCTTGGGTGTAGCATGGTCCCTAAGGGCTGCCCCTGCTGGTGCTGGAGATCAGACCGGAGCTTCCCATATGTGAAGTGTGTCCACAGCCCATAGGTGCTGTGTCTCTGGCATCATTTCATTTAATTGAAAAAAAATAATTTCTCCTTTTTCCTTTATTGTATCAATGACCAGGGATTGCATACTTGGTCACGGTTCTTGCTGGTGTTACTGTGAAAGTGGGTTTTTCTATTCTGCTGGGTTCTTGAGACTTGCATGAGAGATTTGCATACAAAACCCAGGTGCTTAAGAACTTAGTTTTATTATAGTTCAGGTCGATTGATCTGGCTCTCTCCCTAATATCCAGGCCTCTCCTTACCCTCGTACGATGTCCCTGGTCTCATCTCTCCTTTTCTCCAGTGTATGATGGGGTTATGAGTCATGGTTTTCCTTGCCTCTATTGGATGATGGCCTGGTCTGAAATCTTGTCACTAGGATTCTACCCAGTGTCCTCTCAGTAGCCCGGTAGGTTCTCTATTGTCCTGGCTTTCCTTAGTGTTTGGTTACAGCCGCGTGTGTGTGCCTGGGTGAAACTCCTGTGCTCAGTATCTTCGCATTATCTGGGCATTTGAGTCCACAGCATTCGAACCTTGCCTTTAACTAGATCTACCTGGCGCTGTACCCTTTTGTTCCTCTGTATGACCAGGGCCCCCACATTTGGTTGTAGTGATTGCATACTATCGTGCCACCGTTTAGTGGCAACATTTGCACATGTTTGGTTTCAGTGTGCCAGAGATCACACACTTGCAGGGATTTATCTTAATGGCAGTGTCCTGGTATTGCACCGTGCACGTGGGGCAGAGCTGGGGATTGTGCCTGTGATGCAGGTGCTGTGCGTTGAACTATTTCTGGCTGGTCCCCTCCTCCCCCTTTGTTTTTGGGCCACACCCAGTTACGCTCAGGGGTTCTCCTGGCCCCTCACTCAGGAATTGCTCTTGGCAGTGCTGGGGGACCGTGTAGGATGCTGGTTTTTGAATACGGTCAGTCTCCTGCAAGCCCTCTCCCCTTGCTCTGGTCCTCATCCCTTTTCTTTACTAGGACATTACATTGCTTTAATGATGTTGAACCGTCTTAGAATATATAGCACTCTCCTCCCGTTGTTCATCGATTTGCTCGAGCGGGCCCAGTAACGTCTCCATCGTGAGACTTGTTGTTACTGTGTTTGGCATATCAAATACGTCAGGGGTAGCTTGCCAGGCTTTGCCATGCGGGTGAGATACTCTGGGTAGCTTGCCGGGCTCTCCGAGAAGGGCGGAGGAATCGAACCCGGCTCGGCCGGGCTGGCTGCGCGCAAGGCTGAAGAAATAATGCAAAGGGTTGTGTGCATGCTTTACAAGGAGGGGCTTGGGCTGCCTGAGGATGGAGAGTGGTCCCCCTAAGTAAGCTGGGACGAGACCCTGAACACCAGCCAGAGTGACCCCAAACCAAGCAAGCGGACAAAAGTGCACTTTCCAGTGCTCAGGCCTGACTCTTGATCCTTGGTTCTGGGATAATGCCCGTCATTGCCTGGGGCACCTCCTTTCCCAGAGCTGGCTGCCCGCAGGCACATGCCAGACTGTCTCTAACAATGGCTGTGGACCTCACTGGACACTTGTTCTTGGCCTCTGCGTTAAACCTTTCTGACGCACACCAGAAAACCCTCAAAGAGCTGAGGCCTCCAGTTTGATCCACAGTACTGTGTTGCCCAGACCAAGCCATCTACAGACCCCAAGCACTGTCGGGAGGCATCTCCACCCCAAATACTCAAGAGCGTTTTGTTTCCCTTTTAAGGCTTTCTTTAGAGTGAGTAATTGCTAGGTGAATGAATTTAAATTCTGTTGCTTATCTAACGGTAATACAAAAATAATTGCACAATATGTCTATTTTTGAATAAACTTTAGTGTAAAATATGATTGTAAAACCAGTTTTGGCAGATAGAATTATTTTAGGAAAGATAAAAATTAAATTTGACTTTAAAAAAATCAGAAGGAATAGTTGTTTCACAGATAATTAATCTTTAGAAGTAAGGGATCAGGAAGAGAGCAGATCTCTGTCAAATGATTGAAGTGTCTTCTCTTAAGAAGAGACTTTTGGGGCTGGAGAGATAGCACAGCGGGTAGGGCGTTTGCCAGCATCCCATATGGTCCCCTGAGCACCTCCAGGAGTCACTCCCGAGTGCAGAGCCAGGAGTAACCCCTGTGCATCGCCGAGTGTGGCCCAAAAAGAAAAAAAAAGAGACTTTTTTGTGGGGCCACACTCGGTAGTGCTCAGGGATTACTCTTGGGTCTGCATTCAGGAATTATTTCTGGTTGTACTCCTGGGACCGTATGGGATGATTGGAATTGAACACAGGGTAGATGTATGCAAGGCAAGTGTCTTACCCACTGAACCATCTCTCCAAGAAGAGACTTTTGGGGAGAGAATACTCGGTCATTGGAATGAATTGCCATAACTGTAATGCAGAAGCTTATCAATAATGAAGCTATTACTCTGTGGAGTACAGAGCCACAAAATATTCTCATAACTAGAATCTTCTTGAGTTAAGAGCAAGATTCTGATAACTAGGGGCTGGAGTGATAGCACAGCGGGTGGGGCATTTGCCTTGTACGCAGCCGACCCGGGTTCAATTCCCAGCATCCTCTGTGGTTTCTCTGAGCATCTCCAGGAGTAATTCCTGAGTGCATAAGCTAGGAGTAACTCCTGTGCATCGCCAAGTGTGACCCAAAAATCAAACAAACAAAAGTTCTTGTAACTAGTATCAGTGCCAAATTACTAGTGCAAAATAAGGTTAGTACAAAATTGTAGCACTGTAGCACTGTCCTCTCGTTGTTCATCGGTTTGCTTGAGTGGGCACCAGTAAGGTCTCCATTGTGAGACTTGTTAGTGTTTTTGGCATATCGAATACACCACAGGGAACTTGCCAGGCTCTGCCGTGCGGGCGGGATACTCTCGGTAGCTTGCTGGGCTCTCTGAAAGGGACAAAGGAATCCAACCCGGGTCAGCCGCGTGCAAGGCAAATGCCCTACCCGCTGTGCTATCGCTCCAGCCAGTACAAAATTATTAACACTAATTTTATTTAATCTATTAGATTAATTTGGATATGCCTTCTAAGGGAGATGAGGAAATTGCGATGAGAAATTGGGTTTCTCACATAGCCACTCTTTTTGTCTCTTAAGTAGATTTGAACTTACACGATTTACTAAAGGCAGTGCAGGTGAAGCGCGTAACTGTGTCAGGTTGTTTGGTGTTCAGCTGTGTGCAGAAGTTTATTAGTTTTAGTCATTGTCAAACTTTCCATTCTTTTTCTTTTCCAGGGATATCATGATAAAACATTTTGAACCTTCAATTTCCTTTGAGGGCCTTTGCAATGAGGTTCGAGATATGTGTTCTTTTGACAGTGAACAGCTTTTCACCATGAAGTGGATAGACGAGGAAGGTGAGTGACCAGGAGAGGGGGCGGAGTGTTAGCACTGGTATTAAGTGCTATCCTGTCATTTGTTTTAAAAATGTAATAAGAATCTTCATTAATATAAAGGGCGAAGCGGATGTTAGAAATTTGTCCTTATTTTTCTTTATTTAAAAGTTGAAGAGTGGTGGTGGAAAATTTTGAAATCATGGTGGTTGGAAGATGTAATGGTGGTGGGATTGGTGTTGAAATATTGAATGTAATTAATTACTGTGAACAACTTTATGCATATAAAATTTTTTAAAAAGTTGGAGGGTATGTGTTTGTATTTGTACAATCTCTTTATGAATCCAAGTAGTGAACTTTTCTTGACTTTTTTTCCAGCAATAAGCTAATCATCTCATAATAAGAAACTTTTATTTTAAATTTGTTGGTCCTCATTTTCAGAAATTACCTTTAGTAAGTTGATACTTTTATTACTGTAAAAATGTCATGGAATAAAAGTGTGATAATTTTAAAGGTAGCGTCAGAAACTCAACCTTTGTGTCTTTTGTTCAGAAAACATATTGATAGCATTTTCTTTATTTTTTTGCTAGGAAATTACATCTTGTCTGTTTTGAACTTATATGCCAAATCCATCTCTCTATAAAGACAAACTGAACCTTTGTTGTTGTTGTTTTGGGGCCAACCCAGCAGTTCTCTGGGTTTATTCCCAGCAGTGCACTCAGGGATCACTGCTGGCAGGCTCAGAGGACCATTCGGGTGCCAGAGATCAAAGCCAGTTTGGTCCCCAGCAAGGCAAGCACCCTGTCCCCTGTACTGTTTCTCTAGCCCCCAAGACAGCGTGTCTTGCCATAGCGGTGTGCAGCGTCTGTTGATAGATGTTTTCTATCCTCAAACTCATAACTCCATTGAAAGATAGACATGTGAATAGCATACGCATTCAAGCAAAATTTAAACAAAAAAATTGATTGTAGAAATGCCTTGAAATGCAAAAGAAGCAGCATTTGGCTGCAGAGATAGCTCAGAGGTGCATGCTTTAGGGATGTCTGGATTCCATCCCTAACTGTTGCATGGCTTTAAGTAACTGGATGTTACCCCGCCCCCCCCAAGCCCCCCAGCACAAGACAAAACAGTGGCATCTCCCTAGAATTGCTGAGATTTGTAAATTAATCTTGTAACAAAGATAAGGTGGGTTTTTTTTTTTCTTGTTATTTTGTTTTTGAGCCATATCAAGTGATGCATAGGGGCTATTCCTGGTTTCTTTCTATCCAGGAGGTTGCTTCGCTAGATAACGCTGGGGGGGGGGGGGGGGTCAAGCTTTGCCAAAGCCTGGGGATAGAACCCAGGCTTCCTAAATGCAAAGCTTGCACTCAGCATGTTGAGCTGTCTCTCTGGCCCACAAAGATAACGTTTATAAAGTGGTGGAAGCGAGGGCAAAACTTGACTTGCAGTGAAGAATGATTATGAAAAGGCACAGAGATATGAGGACTGTGTATGAGGGAAGGTCAGTTCTTCAGTCTAAAGTGGTAATCTACAGGCTGGAGTCTTGCTACCCAAACTGTGTCCTGTGAAACTTATTAGGAAGAGGGACCCTTGCACCTCATCGTAGTCTGTTGAGGTGAGTTGCATGCTTATTACTGTTCAAAAATGGGACTAGCTCCTGAAAGATTTTTTTTTTTTTGGTACCTGAGGGTTGAACCCAGGACTTGTACAAAATATATATGCCATGCCATATCCTGTTGAGCCATATTCTTCATACCTGTCACAAAAAATCTTTTATAGATGATATTATACTTTTTTATTTGATGAAATATTATTGAAGTGTAGATAAAATGATGCCCTAAAGGGTCAAATTGATAGCTCAGCAGTCTGAATTGTATGCTTTGCCTGCAGGCTCCTGAGCACTGTCCACTGGCATGCAGATGACCCCCATCCCCACACCACCCCAGCACGCACATGCGCGCGGGCACACACACACACACATACACACACACACACACACACACACACACACTAGTACAGAGGATATGGCCATTTATTAGTTTCGCTGCTTTGTTTTGTAGATACTCCTGTTGGCCTGTCTTTCTTCAATTAGCAGCTGCTATTGACATGTTTGTGTGTCACTAGTTTTTTGGGTGGGGCCACACCCAGCTCTGCTCAGGGCTTCCTTACTCTTGGCACTAAGCTCAGGGATCATGCCTAGTGGTGCTTGGGAGAGCCAGTTGGAGTGCAGGGACCCAACCTCGATCAGCTGTGTGCAAGGCAAGTGCCTTACTCACTGGACTCTTGTTCTCCCTGACTAGTTCATTTCTTTCCATTGCTGAGTGATAGCCCGTTGTGTGAATATCCCATAGTTTATCTAATTTGTTGCTAAACATTGAGGTTGTTTTTGGCTAATACACATAAAAGTACTTTGACAGTCTTGAATATGTCTATGTATACTTGATTTCTTTTTATTTTTATTATTTTTTTAAATTTTATTTTCCCCTTTTTTATTATTTTTTTAAATTTTATTTTCTCCTTACACTCTATATAAACAAACACTATGGCTTACAGCTGTTCATGATTTGTTACATTCAATATTCCAGCATCAGTCCCACCACCATTATATAGTTAGTTTCTTTCTTGATAAAATATCTATAGGTTCAATGATTGGATCATATGGTAGGTACATAATTTTTTTGTGTTTTTAATTATTTTTTTGCAGTGCCAGTGACCAAATCCAGGGTCTTACACATGCAAGTCATGAATTCTACTATTAAGCAACATAGCTCACACTTGTGTAGATGTGCATGTTTTAGAATATAAACTAAGAAAAGGAAAACATTTTAGCAGGTAATGATTAATTTATTGAAAAGCTTGGTTTAAGCATCTGCGGTGGTAACTTAAGCCTTAACTTCTGACTCAACACGGATGAAAGTAATGTTTAACAGCCTGAGGACTGTGGGAGTCAGCGTGCTCGGAGATCCCCATCTGAGAGGGATCCCACGTCTCACATCCTTCACCCCGTGGGGTTTCCCTTATCAGGTTGCTTCATGGAGGCATTCAGACTGTTTCACTTTCACAATTCTTTCCCTTTGTGCTTTCAAACAAGTCAGCACACACCGAAGACTACGTGTTCATACTGGCTAGTGTAATTCTGATTTGATGAAACTCCAGAAGTGAAAGTTAAGGGATGGGCCTATATAAAATTTTCACCATCTAGAAAAAGGAAGCCGCAAACCTCAAACTTGTTAATGCGACTGGGCTGCTGAAAGGACAAACACCTCAGAGCCACCGGGTAGGGTTGGGGAGACAGTTTAACAAGCGGAAGTGCATGCTTTGCCTGCTGGAGCCCCGGGTTCAAATTCCAGGCATCACAAGTTTCCTTTGGTACCTGAGAGTCTTCTGTTCTCGTCTCCCAAGCAACGAGTGAGGAATAAACCCCAGCACTGCTGGGTGTGTCCCCCAAACCAAAATTACACACACACACACACACACACACACACAAGCTCTAGCATTCTTAGAGAATTTATTTATGTTCAGTGCAGTGCCACTGTTTGGTTTGGGTAAAGCAATGATTTTCACAAGTGATATACATGTTTCGTACCTGATACCCAGATGTAGGCTTACAGTGGGAACATCCTGTAAGTCTGTGAGACTTCAGCAGCACAGGAGTGTCGTAGTGGTGTCTCAGGCGAATGGTGGGGATGCCAGCTTTGATTTTGATTTTAAGTTGTGTTAATTCTTTCAAATGTGAGGCACCGGATTCAGCTGAAATACCTAGAATCACCAGTGGATTAAATTTATTTCATGTTCTGCATTTTGTCAGGTTTACTCATGCTAATTAAATCTTGATGTCCACTACTTTAATTTGCCTATTTTAAAAAAGAAAGGTTTTGTTTTTGTGTCACACCTCGCGTTGCTCAGGGCTTCCTCCTGGCTCTGCACTCGGATCATTTCTGGTGGGGCCGGGAAGCATGGGGTGTTTGGGGTCTTACTGGGTTGGCTGTGTGCAAGGTAGGCACCTACCCGCTGTGCTCTCTTCAACCTCTAGTTTGCTTTTAGAAAATATTGTGGGACCTTATCTCTCAGCGCTAAGTAGCTTAGGGCCACGCTTGTTTTGTGATCCACACTGTTGGCAGTCAGGAAACTACCCAGTGCTGGGGATCCAACTTAGGCCTTATGCGTGCAAACTCTGCTTCTTGAAACCACACCAGACCCTGCTTCTTTCTTTTTCACAGATGAACAAAAAAATGAATACACATTAAATGAATAAAGACCAATGGTTAACTTACATGTTTCTTTTTTCAAATTTATTGGACCGAATAATATAATCTTGAGTCTATTCTTGTCTTAGAGGTGAATATGGACACTTGTAGTACAATCAACTTTGAGAAATAGATTTCCCCCCCGTCTTTGTTTCATAACTCTGATTGGAATGTTTTGCTTCTGAGCTATGTGCTCTGCCTCATTGCATGTTGAATACTTCACCTAAAAAGGTAATACCTGGAACAGAGATATTCAGTCCAATAAAAACAAGATAGATTTGAAAGTACATAACCTTGGTGACTAACTCTCACTTCATGCTTCCTTGTAGTTATTAAAAAGTATCAGTGTCTAGTTATATATTAAAAGCAGGCGTGTGCCTGGTTTGGGTTTCAGTCAATAGCGAGAATACACTAATCTGGCAAAAAGCAAAAAGGAGGAATTTTTTCCAAAACCAACAGAGCTTTCAGGAGCTAGGCAGATAGGGCAGTGTATTTAGCACATCCTTGGCTTGCAGGAGGCCTGGATTGAATTTCCTCCACTGCTGAGGGTGAGGCCGCCCAAGGCACCAAGCTGGCAGTAACCTCTGTGCACCACTGATGTGACCCCAAGACCTGGGGTGGGGGTGGCAACCCAATGTAGCTTTAATGATTCCTGTCTTTGTTTTTTGTTTGGCTGCCCCACCTGAGGTGCTCGGGGCTTGCTGCTAGCTCTGTGCTCTGTGACACCTCATGGTGGTACTTGGGGAACCGTATGCCTTGCCCACGGATTGAACTGGG